GAATCTGACCGGGCAAAACTAGAATTCCAATTCTGCCCAGACAAAATTAGAATTCCAAATTAGACTAGAATTTTCTTGGGCAAACTTGGGATTTCAATTCTGCCCAGACAAAATTAGAATTCCAAATTAGACTAGAATTTTCTTGGGCAAACTTGGAATTCCAAGTCTGCCCAGACAAAACTAGGATCTCATATTTGACCAGTACTTTCCTTTGGGCAAACTTCGGATTCCAATTTTGACCGGACAAAACTGGAATCTCAAATTTGACCAGCACTTTCCTTTTGGCCAAACTTGGGATTCCAATTTTGACCGGACAAAATTAGAATGAAACAGACAAAAGTTTAAACAATCTAAAGAATTAAAACAGAGTATATTAATAAATCAATTTATTAAACAATATCGCTTTGTTTCGTTACACAATTAAAAAATCAACACCTAAATTTAAATAGCCATATTTTTACAACCACCACGTTTAGAGTGACATTTTGTAGAACAGTGTGTTTCGTTTTTTTTACATGGACAATGCTTTGTAGAGCATTTTCCTTTACAATCACACGTGCGACCAGTTTTCGAACCACGAACATAGAGTTTGCAGGCTTCTATAAGTGTTATAGATGGTAAATCGTTAATAGCAATTCGAGTTAAATCTTCTGGACAAGCCATTTTCAAATTAGTAAGTTCATCAATCGAAAACATGCTTTCTAATCTGCCATACTGGCAAGGAAGTTTGAATATAATCCTTTCATCTGTTTCATATTTCTCTGTAATTAAACATGGTAAAAGCTTAGCATCAGTATTAGTTCTATCAACTGAATGAATTTGTACACCAACGCAATCATTTACATCAAACTGTGCAGCTTGGCTCATAACAAGATTGCGATAATTTGCTATTTTTTTATTGGCGGTATCTAAATAATTGATGGTCGCAATTTCTCGAATTAGTTCATGATTTGTTAGTGGTTGATCAACTGTGGATGGATCTAGAATTGGTTGATCAATCAAGACACGTGTAACAACTTGATCAGATAATCGTTGAACAAGTTGAATAATATCAATATCCATAAAATCGTCACGATTATCG